AAGAAAACATTATATTTTATGTTTATGAAAAAAATACTTTCAAACAATTATTCTGTACTTAAAATGTAATACGAGTAACTCATATTAAAAACTTGGCTTAAAGGGTCAAATAGGTCCATGTACCGGTCCCGTAAGCTCAATTCAGTCCCTGAACAAAAAAAAAAGGTTCAATTCACACCCCGAACCGGTCAAAAAGGGTTCAAATTTCATTTTTAAGGTTAAACAACCGGTAAAAAAAGGTCCAATTCACACTCCTAAACTATTAAAAAGTGTCAAAATTGCAATAAATCGAAAATGAAAAACAGAAACAATAAAAAAACAAAAAAATGACCGGTTGTTTACCCGTAAAAAATGAAATTTGAACCATTTTTTGTCGGTTCAGGGTGTGAATTGAACCTTTTTTTAGTTCATGGATTGAATTGAGCTTACGGGACCGGTACAAGGGCCTATTTGACCCTTTAGCCTAAAAACTTTAAATTCTTTTGAAAACTAATATTAAGAGGGAAGTGTTATTGATAAGTCCAATTTTGTACTTATTTTTCTTATCAAATTTAAATGATTATTGATCGAAAATAGAAAGAAAAGGCATGTTTTAGACATTTTGGTTCAAAGTTTCATGAAATCAGGTGAAAACCACATTCATAATATGTTTGCCGGAATTTCGGGTCAATCGAGCACAAAATGAGTCAATTTGAGTGACAAATGAATTCATACCGGAAGAAGAAAGCATTATATCAAGGTGATTCAGAAGACAAAGTTGAAGAGCAGGAAAAGCCGCATCTGCCAGACAAATTTATCAGCAGGCGCCCAAAAAGGCCCCCAATTTGGCCGCCTGGTTGGCCGCCTTCGGAAAAATCAAAAGTCAACCTACGCTTTGACTCGGAACCAGGAAAAGACCGAAGGCTGCCGACACCAGGCAGAAGGCGGACGCCCTCGGTGGCCGCCTGCGGCACAAGGGGACGAAACCAACCACCGGCCGGTGAGAATCGACGGTAGGCGGCCAGACAGGAACGGCAGGCGGCCGCCTGCTGGACCGCCTACGGCGGCCGGGTCCGCCGCGATCCGATCTGACGGCGAAAAGACGGTAGGAGGCCATTTTTGATGGAAGGCGGCCGCCCTCTGTGGCCGCCTACGGCTGACGGAACCGGCCCACGAACCTTTGCCGGCGACAGGACGGCAGGCGGCCAGATGCCGACGGAAGGCGGCCGCCTGCGTGGGCGCCTTCGGTGAATTTTCTGCTATAAATAGCAGGCTTTTCCCCCATCTCAAATACACCAATTTCAAGCCCAAATCAGATCAAAAAGGGCGTCTTCTTCCTCCTCAAAGCTCGGATTTCCACCATTGTTGCACCTTCAACTTCAATCTTTCATATCTTTCTCATTTTAGCTCCAAATTGTGAGTTCTTTATATGTATTTTCATCCTTTAAATGAGTAGAATCTGAATCTGTACTTAGTTTTTTCTATCTGTGCTTCTAAAATTTCCAGAAAATTATTCCACTATTTCGCATTTTCTTCTTAAATTTGAATAAAATAGTTGTTGACATTAAATCCATTCCAATTAATTATATAGTTGTTTAATAGCCTTAAGGTAGTTATTTATCAAAACAAAGTTAATTTTTACGAAGCAGAAGTAATTTTTAATTAATTCCGGCATATAGTTGTTATTATTGCATATATTAAATTAATTACTCAAAAAAGGTAAAAAAAATAGTTTCTGTCCTAATTCAAGTTTAATTCACAGTAATATCACTCCCAGTAGTCAATATAAAATTTAGAACGAATTTAGAATATTTGTAGTTGCTTCTTTTGTATTATCTAGTTAATATTGGGAAAATTATCAATTAGTTGTTAAAATTGGATTTTAGGTGATAAAATTCGGGAAAAATTCCAGAAGGTGATATTTTAGTTCTACAAGTTTATTTTGGCAGAATATTATTTTTGTTTAATTTTCGCTATTATACATGCTTAATTCCTTGTTAAAGTTGAATTTATTCATTGTATTGTTAATTGAAAAAATGATGTTAATTAGCTAAAATTGTTTTGGGCATGAATTGACTAAAGGAATATGGATTGACTTGTTGACCAAAAAAATTAGGGATTAAAATTAATAATGGGGACTAGTTGTTTGAAATGATGAAATAGTAATTAATAATTGTTAGTCATATTCATTAATTAAATTCTCGGAAAATTATCTCTAACTTGTCTATGAGATTAGAAAATAATTTAAGCCAACCATATTCGAGCACATTAATAGGGCCTAGAAATAGGATAATTTAATGAAAGGGATTTACATCTTGTCTATGAGAGATAAATTCAATTGCTTAAATAATGAGTTTAACTAGTTAATGAATTTGGCTATTTTTATTAATTAAAATATTGGAGAATTATTTCTACCTTGTCTATGAGGTTAGAATTTCAAGCCAACCATTTTGAACAAATTAATGACACCTAGAAATAGGATAAATTAATGAAAATAGTTTCTATTCTTGTCTATGAGGAAAGAAATTATTAGTCCAATTTTAGTTTTAATTTTCCTAATTACTAGGTCCAAGAATATATCCCTTTCTAATTACTCAATTCATTGCCCTTAGTTGCATCAATCCATTTAAGTTTAATATTATATTTTTTTCCTTTAGTCTATTTTTTAGCCATCATTAGTATTCGCACAATTTAATTTACTTTCTTTTTCAAAAAGTAGTTTAGAAAATCAATCAAAAGTTTTAATTTGGAAAGCTTCCAATAATTTGCGATAACCTGTGACTGGACTTAAAATCAAGAAGCTCCTCCGCCATTTCTCGAGAGACACGATACTCGGGGAAAAACCGAAAGGTTAGACTCCGTTTTACTACAACGCCGCGAAAGCGGTTATCAGTTATGTTTGTCAGTTTGTGCATCTAGAAGTATGAACTGAAAATATATGAAATGTGGTTATGTGGATAATAAATACTTTTAACACGTGTTATTCTAAATTATTTTTAAAGATATACTCATATACTCCATATTTTAAGTGTTTTATTTATTCAAAGACATGTGTCGCGGTGAATTAATCAAAAGTTGATAACAAAGTGCAAGTTTATGAATAAAACAAAACACGGAATTACTATGTCAAAAGGAGGGCCAGGACTCACAGAAGGCAATGTATCCAACTGAGTTGTTTTCTAGATCCTATATAGCCTATCCTATGAATTTCTATGAATTTCAATATGCGAATCTAATATAATATGATACTTTTGAAATATGTATTGTTATGACATTTTTAAAATGAGCATTAATATGAAAGTCATAAGTTTTTTAGTTGAACGTTGACACATTTTCGTTGAGCATCAAACATCTTTTATTGAGTATTAGAAAAATGCAATTGAACATCATAATTTGTGCCCCCATATCTATAATCAATTCTCACGTGAATATAATGTAATAAGGTTCTTTTGAAAATATTTATTGATATAACATTTTAAAATGAGCATAAGACCAATGTCAGATGAACATATGTAACTTACAAAATGAGCTTTGGAAGATTCAAAAGGTAATTTAAATTTTCTGATGTGTTCAAATATTCAATTGTGTATGCTCATTTTTTTTTAGTAATTATACTCATTCGAATATAACATAAGGTATTTTCTATAATATGCACATCTAGTGGATTCGTTATTAAGTATTGTGTATGCACATTTATTTTGAGTTACACTCATTTTAGTACTCTGTATAACATAAAACTCATGTTAGTAATTAACACACAATATTTAATAAACTAATAAATATTCATCTTAAAATTAAAATAGAAATAAAACATTAATACCTAAAATATTTTATAATGAACAGATTAAAAAATTTAAGACAGAAAGTTGATTTAAAAGTGAAACAAAAAAGTCAACAATAAATAATACTACGGTATTTTATATAATCATAATAATTCAATAAAAAAAGTAAAAGATTGCTAAAGAAAAAGTAAAGAAATGAAAAGGAACAAGAAAAATAAACAAAAAGATAGAAGCAAAACACCCAAAGTAACGAAATAAGTAAAGAAACGAAGAGAAAAGAAAAAAGGGTAAAACAATCCTGATGCGCAGCGAGCCGCACTGCCGCAGCGGAGAAAAAAGATTAACGTAAGAAGATGAAAAGGTCACATGCGGGGAGGTTGGGAGCACGTTACCCACAAAATAGCCTTGGATTTCAAATATATTACAAAAACATCCGACTGTACCATACTCAAGGTATAGGCGGTTGTACGATATAATTAGTACAATACCCCTGCTATTTGCAATGCCACACACAGGTTTTTCTCAGGTTTACTCAAGGTATAGGCGATTGTACGATATAATTAGTACAATACCCCTGCTATTTGCAATGCCACACACAGGTTTTTCTCAGGTTTGGACAGTCACAAGTCCGGCCCGGGTCAAAAAGGGCTAGCGGGTTTTTCCGGTTTTACTTGTATTCATGGGTTAGTATACAACCGCATCGGTTTCCGGGTTAACCCGCCCAATCCGGTCCGATTCTGGTTACATAGAAATAAACTTGTGTATGTATAAAGTAATACTGCAAATATACTTGTGTGTGTATAAAAATTATGTGTTTATTACATCCTCCAACGCAAGTAGTCTTCAATTCATTTGTTACTCATAAAATACAGAGTAATTAAACAAAGCAAGCAGTAGTAGGGAGCACGACATAAATTCTTGGAAGAACAAGTTGTTTAAGAGCATCTTCATTCATGATACTCAATTTTACGGTTTTTTATACATTGTTATTGCCATGTCACTTCCACTTAAGAAAATCTCAAATACTTTCCAAACCTATCAATTTCTTCTCATTGATGATCTTAACTTACTTAGGTTTTTTTATGAGACATGCACGAACTACAAAACTAGTCATCACCTTAATTATGAGTCTGCCTAGAAAATGAGGAGAGGAGTCTAAGAGTTGAAAATAATCTCAAAATAATCAAGTTTTAGAATTTGATACAAGATTATTTTATCAAATAATTTCTTCAAATAATCCCAACATCTCAACCATAATCTAAAAAAATATCATCCACATCATCAAAATAATCTCTAAATAATCTCATGGACGGGGATGCCCTAATAAGCATCCGGGGAAGCCTGTGGGGGGCTATCTAGGAATTCCACATAGATGCTGATATTTTCTGTTTTGGTGACAAAGTTTGATTCTGTAATGGGAGGGAAGGCAAAAGTACCACTGACTATGAGTTTCCCGTGTTGATCATGCAGCTGGACTTGAAGGAGGAGATAGGAAGTGTAAGGGACAGCGACGAATGATCTGGAAAGGGCAACTGTGTGGGTAACTGGTTCCAACTCTCGCTGGCTGCCTTTGAAAAGAAGGACTTCAACCTCCGGGTCCATGGAGCAAAATGAGGCAGAAATCTGTCCGGACACAGCCGTAACGGAAGGATCCAAGATAGTGACGGACGTGACTTTAGCTGTTAGACCTACAAGCACACCATAATCCACATAGACGGCGATGGGATTGGGACAAACCACACCTTTTCCATCTTCTCTGGTTGCATCAAAATGAGTTCTCCGGACTAAATTGTTTAGCACAGATGAATCTACCAATTCCCAGGTAGCTGTAGCAAAAAAATCCAATCTGCCACAAGCGATTTCTTCACCTTCAAAGTCGTAGGGGGGGGACATCAATTCTTCATCTTCTTCCTGATCACATCCAATCAAATCAACACCATTAAGCTTCAGAGCAACCGATATGGTTGTGTCAGATAGGAGAGGATAGGGCTGCTTTAAGTTCAACGGAATCTCAAACATATCACCTGAGAATTCCATGTGGGCGGATGATTCATTTCTTTCGACCTTGTACAAGAAATCCCCCCCACTTCGCTGTCCAGGTTTTGTATGTGAACTTCCGACTGAAATTACACCGTACAACAAACTCGGTTTAAAAATCTCTGCCCGGTACTTTATCTTTGCCTCTTCCGCATTCAGGATACGTAACCTAACTTTGTAGATCTCCAGCACGGGCATCCCGTTTTTGAAGCCGTACGTGTACCACGATGGAAAGACGTGCCGACATACTATACCATCGTTTCTGCTACATTTGCCAAAAGCAGGCATGAAATCATCATAAAATTTGTCCCAGCGGTCACGATCTGGGAGGGCAGCAAAGATGCATCTTTCTGTCGGGTATCTGTAGTTGGCCAAATCTTCCTCTTGAACATCTCGGTTTCTCGGAGCAATTCGGCTTTTTGTCTTCTCAATCGCAACCAGATCCATTAGATTAGAGGTGTGGGGTGACGGTTGTTGGCTAGGGTGATGCTCGGCGCATTTGTTTCTTCGTCATCATCTTATAGGTTACGTTGTTGGCTGCTCGGCGCACCAGTATTATCTTTTCCTGGCTGGACATATTTACCCTTTTCTTTCTTTTCCTCGTAACCTAATCTATGAGATCAATCGTACAATATCAATAGTAAATCTCCCAGCCCCATCCACTAGCGTGGGGTTTAAATAAATGATGAAAACAATTTACAATTGATATTTATGTAGTACCGAGTACAAATTACAAATTTCAATTGCCTTGTGTTATTAATATATTTAACGTTTGAATAGTTGTATATTTTAGATCCCATTTGGTAAATTTGTTTTTCATCTTATCAGATTTATCATCAAACTTTTTTATCAAATACGTAACTTTTGATTTCGCGCGCTTAATTGCGTAAAAATAAGTAAATTAAAGTTGAAATTACTTTTTAGGCTGTATTGGCGGAAGTTACCGTAGATGACCATTTTAGCTATATTTCCATGCAATTTTTTCTTTAGTTTATTGATAATATATATTTTAAATAGTTTTTTCATGAGTCTTTGTTGTACCCATTATTGTACACACTTTTGTATATTTGCCTGTGTATACAGGCAAATGGGAGAAAAGTGATGCCTTCTTCTTAACGAATTGCCTGCGTACACAGGCAAAAGAGAGGGTGAGTACAAAATGGATACAAAAGTGGGTACAAAGAGAATTTTTGTTTTTCATAAATCAGCAGAATCTGTCAGTCCATCGTTTCAACTAGAACTTCATTCGTAAATTTTAGCAGCATCAACTGAAGTGTTACCAAACAGGCTCCTAGAATGTTAGTTTTGTATAAAATATTATCAAAGACAAAAATAGGTTCACTATTAATAAAAGATTTGAAAGATTTCACGATCAACTTCCAGGTTTCAATTTCCTTTGGTACTTACTGCGCTCTTAAGTAAATGTAACGGTCAACATTTCACATTTGTCGAGGCATAACTTCAACCATTAATATATATATAAATCTCTATTAGTAATAAAAATTATATTTTGAAAACTTACAATGAGATAAATTTAACAATATTTTTTCGAAGATATATATATTATACATTAATAAATAAAACATAGTCAAAGTGTAACATGTGAATAGTGTAAAGTTCAACATGTTGCATTTATTTAAGAATGGATGTAGTAAAAACGTAGCCAAATTTTATAGGATTAATCATGCAATGAAATTAATAATAAATAAATAAATAAATTAAAATATATGACATTTTAAATTTAGGTTGATAGTTTTCAATCATTCAAGTCTTATATCGACACAATTTATCCTTCAAATCTTTTATTAGTAATGAATCTATCTTTGAGTTTGATAAGTTTTTATACTGATTTAGCATTTTATACAACTCTTTAAACGAAACTTAAATATATTGATAAGACAACACAAGCCGGTTTTGTCTGTGAACTAGCATTCACAGACAAAAAAATCTCTCACAAACACGGAGGTGTACTGGTGTGTATAAGAATATGTACACCAAGAATTTCCCTATCCATAATTCCATATATTGAATATTGTTTACCCTGGGGTCGAGCGAGGGTAAATTCCATCGTACAGCCGGTTGTACCTAGGACATATGTTAGTGATTGTTCTTTTTTTCCGGACGCTGATCGTTGCTAACTTGCTGGGGTTTTACTGTGGTTTTCGACTTTCTGCCGTATGCAGCAGAGAAGTACTCCACTTGGGCGTTGCTAACTTGCTAACTTGATCGTTGATGTGGTTTTTTTACTCCTTTTTTTGCTTTTTAATTGTTTGATTGTTCTCTTTCGTTTTTTTCAATTATTAATTTTAATTTTAATTTTATAATTCAATTATTATGACAATGTAGAATATAAAATAATATAAAAAATATTATTAAATGTCCCGTTTTTTTTTCTTTTTCCAATCAAACTTCTAACTTATTTGTTTAATTAAAGTATTATAACATATTTTAGGCATTAATGATTTATTTTTCTATTTTTAATTTAAAATGAATATTTATTAGTTTATTAAATATTATGTGTTAATTACTAACCTCAGTTTTGTGTTATACTAAAGGAGTGTTTGCAGTTGATTAAAAAAACACTTTTCAGCTTTTGGCTTAAAAAAAGTTAAAAAGAGTGTTTTCAAATGACAGCTTCCGCTTAAATTAATCACTTAAAAGCTAAAAGCTGGAAGCAGGTGGAAGGGTGGTTTAAACTGCTTTTCACTTTTTCTATTACACAAAATGTACTTATTTTACCAAACACTATCAACTTTTACTTTTTTAGAATCACTTTTTTCTCAAACACTACCAACTTTTACTATTAATCATTTTTCCCCAAATCACTTTAAAAAATCACTTTTTTAAAGTTGAAGCAATTGCAAACACTCCCTAAGTGACACACAAACATACTTTTCCATACTAATTACACATCCATGATAAACATTTAAACATATAAACATCTAAAGTTAATTACCTATTTTTAATTCAAGAGTACAAATAGGATTACATGTTTTTAATTCTCCCTATTAGGACTATTTATGTGTGTTTGGACAAAGACACTCTTGTAGCTTTTGAAATGTCAAATTTAATAATAAAATCATAAAAAAACGTAAACAAATAATAAAATACGTCAAAAAATATTAAAAATTTATAAAATATTTATAAAATAAAATATCAAAGAATTTTGATGAGTAATAATGCCATTTTTTGGCATTTTCCGAAAATAAAAACATTTTCTCAAAACAAATGGCAGCATTTGCACCGATCGTAGGACTCCATATTTTTTATTTTTTTGGGCTTCTACTATTTTTTATTAATTTTAAGAAGAATAAAAAAAAATTCTGCCAACATTTTTAGTAATGCCATAATAATGTGACAGATTCAATGAGAATTTCGGCATTATGAAGAGTAATAATGACATTTTCTTGGGATTTTCGGGGAAAAATGGAAAATTTTGTAAGAAAACGGCAGAATTTTTACCGATCGAAGGTGGTGCTGTTGGGAGGCGGTGGGAAAGGTATCCATATTTTTTTATGGGTTTTTACTATTTTTTTAAAAAAATTCATAAATTAATGTTTTTAAAAAATTCATATATTACTTTTGAACGACTTTTTAATATTTTTTACAAATTTTTTATTATTTTTTTAAGATTTTATTATGAATTACGGAGTATAACATTTCATTATGGAATGATACCCTTAGGGGCATTTCTGGTAGAAATTCAATGTTTAGTCCTATTTGGGATGGTTAAAAATATAGTAGTCCTGTTTGTTCATTTAAGGATTATTTTTAGTCCTATATAGAGCAATTACTAAAACATCTAATTACAATATGGGCACATATTAATTTATAAATGTATGCACGATAAATACATGCAAAGAAATTTTTTTAAAAAAAAGGATGACACCCCATCCCTGAGGGCCCCCCAACACCGACCGGACGGCACGATGGGAGGATGTAAATTGGACTATAATCACAATCTGACAGATAGAGAGTGGGGCTCTGTCCCCGGTACTTACAGAGGCCCTATGCATTTTTCAGCATAGTAACCCCTCATCGTAGTTGCCGGGATTCGAACCCGAGACCTAACCCTTGTGGCACTCCCTCGCTACCAGTTGAGCTACGCCCACCGGTGTAAAGAAATTTTAAAGATATATGTGTAGTGATGGGGTTATACATGGGCCACGCCGGCTAGGCCAGGAGGTTATGTCGGGGATTGACCCCAACCCCATTTCCCATAGGCGGGCCGGTCAACTCTATGCCAAGCCAGTACAACAGAAGAAATGATACATGATTGCCGAACGACAGGACTCCATGTTGTTCAACATCCACTACATTCGCCCGGTCATCCACGTAGAATGGTTATCCAATGTTGTCCTTGTCCCAAAGGGCCCGACCGGGGGCATGTTTGTCGATTACACAGATCTAAACAAAGCTTGTCCGATGGATCTGTATCATGTGCCCAGGATCGACCTTCTGGTGGATGAGACCGCCAGGTGTGAGCTACTCAGCTTCATGGACGCATTCCGAGGCTACCACTAGATCTTCATGCACCCAAATGCATGATGTAGAGAAGACTGCATTCATCACCTCGGACGGCATGTAGGTCGTGTAGTGCTACATCGTCATGTTGTTCGGACTGAAAAATATGATGGCAAACTTTGAGCGCATGATTGCGATATTGTGAGTGGAAAAGATATGATATAAGGAGAATACTTGTTTTTTTTTCGGAGACGACGAGTGACGAAGACTTCCGACGTAGAGAGAAGGGAGAATGATCTAGAGTGAGGAAGAGCAACTTTCGGAAAATCTGAACCCAAAACTTAAATGGATATTTATATGGGAAGCCATTGATGGGGGGGGGTCCATTTACGAAGACAAAGAGTCCTGGTAATCATGAAGAGAGTCTCGGAAGTTGAACCGACTAGAGTAACCGTCACCTTATGAACTCGGGAACTGTCTAGACTTTTGTTGCTGAGGGGTATCGAGTCTGCGCGGTTCAAGGCTTCCTTTTCTCTACTTCCTTATGTCCCACACAGGCTCGGAACATCAGAAGTGGGGGACTCGCAGGCCCAGCTTTAGGGGGAGGCACCTAAGCATATGCCTAGGGCACCACTATCATATGGGGGCACCAATTTTCAAAAATAAAACTACTTGTATTATATAATTTGTATATAGTATTTAGGAATACTAATAGAAGATCAGAGAAAATAGTCCAAAACTTAATAAAAGGTAAATATATGTTTCATTTGTCCTAGACTGGTGAATTAATGTCTTATTGATACTTTAAGATTTTAGAAATTACTAAACTCCTAAACTACTTAAAAAAATTGGAACATAAGACAAAGGTGAGGGTCTCAGGGAATTGAAGAGAATTTTTGGAAGAAAAAAGTGAAGGTTTTTTATGATTTTTTTAATCAACTTCTATATTTGATTGCATTTTGTTAATATTTTTAATCAAAAGTATTAACAAAATCTTGCAATCGAAAGTTAGGTGTTCAAAAAAATTAATGATTAAAATCTTGCACAATAATATTATTTGGTCCCACAATTGAAGAAATATATATAATAAAAATATTATATATATAAAATATTACATTTTATTGTAGAATACATTATTACATCAATTTTACACATGTATTTTACATTTTACTTTCAAAATTTTTGTTG